AAAATTGGGATCTCTGAGTTTGGAAAGACATGAGACAAATCTAGAGATGTGAACAATAGGTCCTGTTATTCAAAACTCATTGAAGGTTATTGAATGTGACAAATTAGCCTTCTATTTTTTTTTTTTTTTTTTTTGGCAAAGTACTAGAGACTCTAATCAATTTAGAATTGGTAAAGCATCACACATCACAGGGTCTTCTTTCATATAAGCAATATGACTTTCGCTTCTCTAGGTCAACTGCTGATGTATTAATGATTATTGCTGAAAGAGTATATCAAGCTTTAGATAAGCATGGTGAAGCTTGAGCTGCTTTGGACATCTCAAAAACATTTGACAGGGTTTGGCATACCAGTCTTCTTCACGAGTTGAAAGATTATGATATTTCTGGACAAATTTTTGAACTGATTCCGTCTTTGTTATAAAATCACAAAATGAAAGTTATCCTGAACAGCCACTCTCCTAGATCTTTCTGCATTAATGCAGGTGTCCCTCTGTGCTCTATCCTTGGGCTTGCATTGTTCCTAATTTCCATCATCAGTTCTCAATTCAGTATCTATGCAGATGATAAACTACTTACTCCTGTCTGAATAGTAAATCTGATCAGATTGATACGGTCAAATTGGCAGCTCATCTAAAAAATGACCTACAATCTGCTGTTTACTGGGGCAAGAAATGTCTTGTTAATTTTAATGCTTCCAAAATTAAACTGCTCTCTCTCAATCATCTGAGAGAACCTTTTTGCCTTCCATCAGCATGGCTGATGCTAACCTCCATGAGAGTGACTCATTGTACCTTCTCAGGCTAACATTTTCTGCTAGCATGAAATGGAAAGATTATATTAAATCAATTGCCAGGCCTGCTGCTAGGAAAGTTGGATCACTGTCATACTAGACAATTTTTCTCTCCTAAAATTCTTACATATTTATAAGTTTACTATTTGTCCTGTTTTTCAATACTGCTGCCACATCTTATCTGGTGCTCTTACTATATATTTAGAGATTCTTGATAAAATCCAAAGAAGAATCTGCAGTGTTATTGGGCCTGTCATCTCAGCATCAGTCACTTTCCCATTGCCGTAATGTGGCTTCCTTATCCCTTTTCTATAAATACTTTCATGGTAATTGTTCTGAAGAAGTTTCCTCTATGGTACCTAGACTTTATGAATTTAAGTGCGGTACTAGATTGGTGGTAAGGCCTCATCAATTTACAGTTGAAATGGCTAGATGTAACCATAATTTCTATGCTAACAGTTTTTTTCTTGCATGTGGAACTCTTTTGGATTCTAGCTTCCCAGTCAACTTTGATCTTCAAAAAGTTAAATGCAATGTTGATTGTTATCTTCTGCCTCCTTAATTCTTGTTCTTTTATTGTTCTCTCTCCTTAATAGTATTTTTCTCATATTCTCTAACACTCAATAACCCCTTGCATCTTAGTGGCTTTATTGTCTTGCATGGGGTGAAATGATAAAAAAAAGACACCAATGGAAGGGAAAAGATTATAATAAAAACATCAAAGGTTAGTCCAAAAGTATCAGTGAATCTCAAAATTTCAAAAAGTAATTGCCAGTAAAATGTTGTTACAGATTTTGTTAGGTAAAATATTGCTACTGTCAATATTATCTTCCATTTATACACTCAAACATTTAGAATTTTATCAATATGGTTACAAAATGTTTTGTATTAAGAAAATTTTGATGTATTCAGTCCCAATGAATAGCATTTGGTTGTTATGTGTACATGTAAAGTTTTTATAAAATTTAAAAGCTAAGATGGACTTAGTAAACAGTAATGGTAGAACTTCTCTTTGTAATCTTGCACAAATCTTTTACTTCCAAATCAAACAATTGATGTTTTCTCTTTTCAGTTAAAATTGAACCTCCATACACCAAGGTGACTGCTCGAGAATCTCTTGCCAGCATCAATGCACGTCAACGACTGCTGAATATGTATGAAACTGTTCCAGAAACTGAGAATATGTATGCTACTGTAAGTATAACAAAGAACAATGCACCACTTTATCTTTTAAATAATTAGATTTTTGGAGTAAATTAAGCATTTGACAAGTACAGTATTCTAGGCAAGGTTAACTGAGAAAAATTGAGAAAAAGAAAGAAAGATTAAATATTCAGAGGATGCTGAGAATATTAATTTGACATTGACAGGATATATTGATGACAAAAGGGACAGAGGAAATGTACCTAATGAGCTTTTGTAAATGGTTGGCAGGACAGAGATTTGGAAATCTAACAAAAAGACAAAATTTACTTAGAGCTACAAAGGACAGGAAGTTGTGGAGAGTCATGATCCCCCATGTTCTGAAGGGACACGACACATTGAAGAAGTTTGAACTTGTATATCAAGTCACAGTAATGCTGATATACAGGGGTTGGTTATAAAGTTCATACGCTTACCAAGATACTCTCATGAAATGTGACCAAGGTTTATTTTTCAACATAGTCCCCCTTGTGGTCCACTCAATTCTTCCATCGGTGTTGCAGTGTTTTGATCTCAATTTTGAAGAAGCTTTCATCCTGTTTGTCAAAAAAAGTCATCAATAGCAGATATGATGTCATCATCACTGTGCTACTAGTTCCCAGCCAATTTTTTTCACGTTTGCGAACAAATGATAGTCAGACGAGGCCAAATCAAGAGAATACGGAGGGTGATCAACCTGTTCAAAGACCCAGGCATGCACAGCAGCCATTGAAACTCAGAACTTGTATGCTGGAATCTTGTCTTGATGAAACCTCTTTCATCAGTTTCTGGGTGTTTGGTCTTGATAACCCTTCATAACTGCATCAACAAGTTGGCATAGTACTCTCCATTGATGGTGTGATCCTTATGAAGATAGTCAATAAACTCAATGCCTTTTGCATCACAAAAAACTAAGGCCACAACCTTACTTGCAGATGAAATGACTTTGGCCTTCTTTAGATCAGGTGAAACAGGTTGCTTTCACTGCATGGATTGTCTCTTTGTCTCTAACTCAAAGTGATAAATTCAACACTCATCATAAGTTAGGAAACATCCAAGAAGACCAACTGGATCTACATCAGTGTCAGATTTTCCTGTGATGTAATCAGTCTGGTGCACTTTTGATCAGGTGTCAGAAGACATGGCACCCACTGAGCAAAAACCTTTCTCATGCCAAGTTCATTGTGCAGAATATTCTCAATTCTCTCATGGTATATGATAATAGCATTGGCTATTTGATTTATAATCAGTCACCTGTCATCCATCACTATGTGGTGAACATGATCAATGTTTTCCTCAGTGTTGGCAGTTGCAGAATGTCCAGGCCTTGATCATCTACAAGACTCTCTCTTCCTTTCTGAAATTCAGTTGTTCACTTTTACACTGTTAATAAAGCTGGAACATCATCCCCTAATCTACCAACCATGTCAGCATGAATGCCCTTGAGGTATAAACTCTTTCTTTTCTTTTCTTTTTTTTTTTTTTGCAGGTACTTGATAACATCACAATGCAAAATTTTGTCAATTTTCAAGAGAAGTTGCTACTAGTTATAAAATTTTCTTTGAACAGTCAGATGTCAATAAACAGAAATAAATCATGCAGTTATTAATAAGAAGAGTTGAAATTAATGCATGCAAGATTTCACAGTTCTAGCATTACTCCTTCATAGTTAGCCTATGAAATTTCAGCCCATCCTTGTAATAAAATGACATGGATGCTATAAGATTGTAAAATGAAACAATCAAAATTAATTTAATGAAAAATGACTTTTTAGATTGTTTAACTGGCTCTTATAAGATAGCTTTTCATTAAAAATAAGCTACCATTTCTCTAGATGTATGACAAGTTTCTTTTAATAGGTCATATCAGTACATTTAGATATCCTGAACTTGACTGCCTGACAGATGTTGTGCTGACTTTTGCATTGGTCAACTTACCTGAACTTGAATGAATACCTTATTATTTTAGAGGTAAAGGTAAATATACTAATATGTGAAGTACTTAATTGTTTTACTTGACATATTAGTAGCATGACTGGTTTAAATTCAAATTTAGAACTCTGATTGATCATTTATTCATATAATCACCTTACCCACAAACTTGTAAAATCTTCCAATTGCATTTCTAGTGTAAGTGTTGTAAATATGTTTCAATATGATTAATAATCTCTAGAAAAAGAATTGGGGCTACTTCCAATAGTCAAAGATTTTCAATACATATTGACTGAATTACTCAAGTAAAAGAACAATAAATACAGACTGAACAATTTTGTAACTTTTGAAACCAATGAAAATACCCTGCTCTCTTTGTGAAGGGGATTCTATAGCATTTCAGAAGAAGGTCAATAAAAAAAATGCTTTGATTCATTGATTTTGATACACAACCAAATTCTTCAGTTTGTCTTTTTCGTTATTTCCATCATTTCATGTAATACAAATTTAAATATATGCATCAATCTAATTATTAGTGTTGACTTAATAGGTGGATGGAGGATCTGGAGATGGTGTAGTTGTTCGTCGTGCAAATCGTCCTGAAAATCCACCCAAACGAAGTAGCCAAGTTAGTGAAACTTATGCAGAAATTGGAGCCACAGGTAAGAGAACAGGAAAAAAATTACTTCCTGTGAAAATTACACTTAAAAGATGCCCAGATGAAATCCAATTTGCTAGTTTTCTGATGGGCTGGTAAAATTCTATTCATCCTTTATTTTTCTAATTGTTCCATTCAAACTCCTAAGGATCAATTCCTTGTAACACTTATCTTTTTCTAGTTTAAGGTTGCTTTAAACAATAAATAATGTTCTTTTTCATTTGTCTTTCTTACTAACAAAATTAATTAGCAACTTCAGTATGGCATTAATGAAGATTTTGTCTGAAATTCTGACATTAATCATTACAGGAGTTGTTCTGACTAACATCCTTCTCTTAGTTTATTTTATCAGTTTTTTGGTTCATGAATTCTTTGATATTTCTTAGATGCATAATTTATCTGATAGGAGAGGATTCCTATTTGAAATAGTTCAAGAGCTTATGGCCATACCAGATTGAAACACTGGTTCTTGTATGATCACTGAAGTTAAGCAACACTCAGCCTGTCAGTACTTAGATGGGTGACTGTTTGGGAATGCCAGGTGCTATAAGCTTGGATGTGCTGGTGGTGTAATGAATAATGGCTCAGAATTGGAAATCAGAGAATAAAGGTCCAATTCTAGTCAGGTTTTTTATATTCACTTATATGCAAATGCTCTTGGGAAAGATATGAATTCACCTTCTCCCCTAGCTATGAGTTAATTGGTAGGGTTTGTATCAGAAAAACATTACTATCTCCCCCCCCCCCCAGAAATTCTTACAATCTAAAAATGTTTTCTGGCTTTAAATAAGCTGCAAAAAACAAATCAGTCAAATGAAATATTACAAGATCTGATCATAAAACATGCCTGCAGATGGTAAAAGTTAGATAAAAAAAAAAGAAAAAAACATCTATTGTTAGAATTGTAAATAAAGCCTGCCTGCAGCAATCTGATACCCAAATGTGGACCTCTTTAGAATAGGAATGCCCTTCTTACCAGATGTATATAGACTTGAGGAAGGTCAAAGAATGCATTGAACTTTATGATAAACCTAAAGAATACTAACCTGAATAACTTGCAGAATAAAAAAAAAAACTTTAAAAATAAAAGATTATGGTAGTTATCAAAGGGAGATGATTACAGTTTTTCAAATATTTAATTAGTAATTCTTTGTTTTCATACTTTGAATATTACAGTTATTTCTAGTAAGATATTTTCAATTATTTTATTGCCTCCAATCTTTTCAGGTGGCCACCCAGAAGCTGCCCCAGTTCCTCCATCCTTGGACTCCTTGCGGACTGTCACCAAGCAGAACCCTCACGGAGGAGATTTCCGACGATCAGGAGGAGATTTCATACCAGTAATTGCTGAAATTCAACATGATTATGCTGTGGTAAACAAGCGTCGTACATTCCCCATTGATTTCTCCCAGGCACATTATGATGTACCTTCATCCCGTAACATGCCACAGTTGGCAATGTCCGCCCAGAGGGGACTAATCCTTATTGACCCTTCAGAACAACCACCGTCATCGTCAAACTCCTCTAACCATAATAACCCCAAGAGCCCCAACAACAACAATAATAACTGTATGACATCATCCGTCACATCTAAGTTGCCTGATTGTACCATGGCAGTGTCACCCTCATCAAGTAAGGAGACCCCCTCTACCTCTAGCAGAAGCTCTATTGTCACATCTCCTAAGCTCGAACCCGAGTATCAGGTCATGCGCGACGGTGGTGGCAGTGAAAATGACAGTGAATACGATCCAAATTATGAAACTGTTGAGGATGCGCAGCGTAAGGCAGCAGCCCTTCGTCAGAATAAAGCCCGTCGACGGCATGACTATGAAGAAGTGGACGCATCACAGTTGCAGAGTCCTACCTCTCCGCCGGCAAATCCAGCTGAGGAGGTGCGCGAGAGAGTTCTACGCCAACACACATATGAAGATGTACGGGAGGTGAGGAAACAACACAAGGCATTCCGTCGTAGTCAGGAACAGTAATGAAATGTTAAGCAGGTGAAGATAAAGGAAAACAAAATAATTCTGATTTAAAATACAAGAATGAATACAAGAATCTAAGAGAAAACAAAACAAAAAAAAACTCAGGAAGAAAAAGGAAAAAAAGGCCTTGAGAACCATTCCAAGTCAAGAAATTTCTTCTTTTTTTTTTTTTTTAAATCATATTTCATAATTATCATTTAATTATTTTTTGAATCATTCTGTTATCTAGATGAGAAATCTTCACCCACATGCATCATGATAATTATATGCATGAGAACTTAGACATGGTGTATATTTTTATGTACAGAATTCATTATTTTTAAATCTCATATTTTCCAAAAAGTATGTTTTATTTACTTGGGACAACACAACTTTCATACCAAGTTTTATACCTTGTTCACATACATAGATTTAAATTTCAGTCAAAGTTAAGTATGATAATCAATGCTTTCTTTACATAATTTACACACTGTCATAATTACAGCATTTACATTTTTATGACTACATTATATACAAACTACCATTTTTCTTAAAATTTGGCACTTTCATGATAAATAGAGGGCCATAGTTGATTGATAAAGTAGTGGTTTTGGTTTTGTTCCAAATTGACTTGAATGATTCTTAAAGTTTGTACTGTGTTGCCCATGATTTGTTCTTTATAAAATCAGAATTGCCTGCTCTTTTCTGTGAGTTTTCAAAAGTTGAGAACTCTTCAGTTTTACAAATGCTCTCTGTTCACCTCATATAGAGAGGCGTGTGAATAATTTGCAAAAGCTAACACGCTTTTGTCTTTCTCCAAGTAGACAAATACAGCACATTTCTATGATGCCTCTTCAAAAGAAATGAAGTGCAACATTATCATAATGCCAGACAGCCTTTTCTTAACATTCCTTTTTTATTGTGCAAATCTTCTCCCTACCCTAAATCCATGAGTACAGTTCATACAATGCGAAACCAATCACTATACTAAATTGTTGCTCTCTCTCTCTCTCTCTACTGACTACCATTTACACTCACATGGTGTAACAAAATAGTCTATGTAGTGTTTCACTAATGGTTTTGCCAAGGTCTTACATTTTAATGCAGCGTGGAGTCCACTCACATTGTGTAATAGAAATTATTTACACATTGTAATTATGATGAGGACAGAACTAGTTTCTGTTTCCCTGGGGACAGGAGAACTAGAGACGAAAGCTGAGGTACTTTATATCGATTGTCCTCCACTTTCGCCTCTGTCCATTGCACTATTTAATCAAGTTTATTTACTAAAAGTCATTATTTATTCAAAGTAACCTTTTCTTCATCTGGGATGGTCCATCTTTATACAACAAATGGAAGCCTGACTGCAGTCATCTACAAGCTATTCAGTAGCCTATTATATGCTTACCATCTTACATTTCAGCAAGACATTCATTCAAATAAAAGATATTATATATATATATATATATATATATATATATATAACTAATATATTAAGCAGTCCTTTAATTTAGATTTTATTCATTTATTGTTACTGATTTTAAAATTAAAAAGAATTTGGTTTTATTTGAATTTGATTCATTTTTTTTCAAGCATTAAAAATATTCTTACAGAAATATTTAACATAATTTTTAATTATTAAAAACTCTTAATTTATTTTTTTCTTTATCATCAATTTTTAGTATGATGATAAAAGTAATATTTCTCATCACTTAAAAAAGAAAAAAATTCAGGTAGAAATTATATTTTGTTTTTTCCTTGCTTGCAGTTTTTAACTCCCTCATTGTAAATACTAAAGTAGAAATCTTTAATTAGGTTTATTAATCACACATAAAAAAGATGGATATCTTTGCACAGATGAATGCGCAAATCTTTTGTATATACTTGGCAAATATGACAATAATCATAATGAGAACTATTGTTATTTTCCCATTATTATTTTATTATAGATAATCTATCAGCAATACACATACACTCACACATGACTACATTTTCTCATAGACCCCACTTGTACACTAGCACATAATACAATTGCATACTGTCAGCTTTTATAAAAAATACTGTATCATTCTGATGTTACTTGCATGTAACTGTGACTTTTGCCTGTACACAAGCAATATGGCTTGCTACTGCGTGCTGAATTTGTTGGACTATATTAAGAGTTGTGCTCAGATGGTGCAAACTCGAATGTTAATACTGATGCATACAAGTGTCTGTTTGAGTGTGTGAGTGAATTGAGTCAGAGAAATGCATTCAGAAACTAATTTCATCTTTTCTCTAACATTCATCAATGAATTTTTTTTTTTTTTTGCAAAACACATCTGTGGAAAAACAACTGAGGTTTCATAATTGTAAAAAAAAAATCTTAAATGATTACATAAACAACTAGTTTTAACAGCACCACATGACTAAAACATACAAAAAGGAAATAATTTTTGCCTAATTTCTCTTAAAAAAAAAAAAAGAAAAGATAATCAAAACAGTAGAAGTGCCAAGTGTTGTTTTAATTTCTTGGTTGGTCAGTCCCCTCTTCTCTAGTGTCTGTGTTTGATAATGATGGCTACTTCCAGAGGACACACACTAACAAAAATAAATAAATAAAAACTTGTGTGTGTGTATGCACATATATATAAACAAACACATACATACACACCCTGCTACTTTGTGCTCAGCTCAATCCTAGCTCTGACAAAAAAAGAAAGCTCAATGCATTGATGAATATTTGTTTTTAGAAAAATGTTCTGGTATTTTGTAATATATTCAAACAAAAATTGGATATTTTTTTGCCATGCCTCATATTGCAAATATACTTTTTTAAAACTTTTGACAGTCTTTTTGAGGCCATAAAAAACAACACAAAAATGAACTTTTATAATAAGAGCAGAAAATTAAACTTAGAGATGGCCAGATTTTTCTGCTTGCCTCCAATTGTTTTTTCTGATAAATTAAACACTCAACCAAAATATCCTACTTCATGCCAACTTGAAGATAACTTAAATGGTACTCTCATAAAATGACTTTTCTATTCTTATTATGAAAACTTGACTGTATAGATTTTTTTATATTTGTTTTCTACAACCTCAAAATGTTGCAATGCTTCAAAAAGTTTGAAATAAAGACTATTTGCAATATAAGAAATTCAAATTATTTTTTTTAGTTTGAGGCACAGCTGCTGTTCTTTTTTTTTTGTTTCTTTGTTTTTTTTTTGTTTTGTTTTTCTCAAAGTGGGTATTTAAAACTTTTTTTCTACTCATACAAAATACCCCTAAACTCCAAGTCATCTCTCAGAGTAACTTGGAATCTGTTGTTAATAATGGTAAGTCTTTTAATTGTAGATGTATCAGCCACTACACAATATAAAGTCTGCATGTTGAATTTAATTTTTTTTATTCCTTATGAAATGGTTCTTGGGCAGTAGAGGCTGAGGCTCAGCATGTCCACACTGGTGGGGGAAGGGCAGATTGAAAAAAAAAAATCGCTTTTTTATGCATTCTTATGTTGGCGGCAACTTTTTATTCTATTTTCTTTTTCTACACAATATAAAATATTCTTAAAAAATTTTATAATAATAATTTTAAGCTGTTC